TTGGCTTCAGGCACTACTGTTTTAACATAGCTTTCCTATGCCTTTTCTAAAAAATATTTTCATGCCAATTGTTCAAATGAGCTTTTCTCTTTGGTACCTTGACTTTATGAATTTAAGTGTACTACTAGATTGACAGCTAGTCGAAATAGCTAAAGGTTTAATTCTAATAGATTTTTCTCTCTCACTTCTCACTTGTGAAACTCTTCTCCAGCTTCTAGTTTTCCTGTCCTTTTTGCATCTTAGTGGTTTTATTGCCTTGCTTAATTCAGTCTGGCACAAAACTTAAAAGTGTAAAGTATTCAGTAAGGGTTTGTGAAAAATAAACTGAGAAAGGTTTGTACATTTTATTCCATCCCCTTAAATCAATTATAACTTAAACTGAAACATTATCTGAATCCTAGATTCTTTAGACAAAGAACAAAAATAAATTAGTTTCAAAGCAGACTTTTTAGAGGTTAGCATGCTAACTATTCCATGACAGACACTCCATTTTATTTAATATCATTTACAATAGGTAAAAATATATCTTGACTTTTTTTTCCATGAAAATATCGCATCAGTGAACATTATGGTTGTCAAAGCAAAGCAGTAATAGGCTACACCCATACAAATGTGACTACTTAGAAATGTCAAGTAAAGATCAGTATGTCTGATTTATTTTTATCGAAACTTGAGAAAAAATTTACCTTATTTTTTCTAACACATTTCAAGCTAAATTTAGAGGGCATTTTATATGCCACAAATTACATTATTTGCCCCCGATCCCACTGAGATAGACTTGTAATTCTGAAAACTGTGCTTGCTATCCTTCTTCGACAACCAGTATAAGAGAGCAACAACTTTGATTATTTACATTGTAACTATTGTCCTTATCTTTATTGTTATTATAACTGGCCTTCATCAGCTGCTTGTTGATCTGTGTAACCTTCAGGTAATTGAATTCACAATTACTGTGACAAATTTATAAACCAACACTTTAATCTACTAGGCTATTGTTCTGTAGGATAATTCTGAGTATGGAACATGGAGCCTTAATGCTAATATTGCTTTTACTGAGACTGTCACACTTGACTGCATTTTAGAGGTTTTTCTTTTCTTATTAAATCTTGGGTTCACTCTCGTCCAGGTAGTGGTGACTTAAACCTAGTAGAACCAGGTGGGCAATAGCTGAGCAGGATTAAATAAGACCTAGACAAGATATTCCTAGACATAGTCAATGGAACAAGGACTATCTACCTCCATATATTAAATGAAAAGTTCAGTTCAAAATTCCTTGAAGGTTACTTGGATCTACAAGCTCTTGATGAAGGTCAGAGGGCAGAATGACCAAAACATTGTGGTAATTAAAACAAAGATGCAGGCGATAATCTGAGTGTAAATAATAATTTCCTCATTCCAGAAATTCGGACAGGAATAATTTTGAATTTAAACATGCACACACACACATACGTGTGTGTGTGTGTATGTATATATATATATATATATATATATATATAGGAGCAAGGTAGAAAAAGAGAGAAAGTTATATACACTTCTATGCACCATGTCCCTTCAGGATGTGGTAAATCATGACCTGCTACAACTTCCTAAGTTAACATTAAACACTTCACTGTCTTTTCAAAGAACAATCATGGCAATGCTCAATTTATAGATATTAAATTAAAGAAAGCTGTGGAGAGCCATGATTACTATGATCTGAAGAGACATAACACTTAAAAAAATTCTTGTATGTGTTATGTGCATCTAACTTTGGGGCTGTGTATAGTATGTGTGAAATTTATTCAATGAGATAGATGTTTAGTTTCTGTAATAAGATTAATTAGCAAGTGACCTTTTCTTATACAAGTTACTGTGTATGGGTTGGTCTAATCTGCATATTTTCTACCTTCATTTTTGTTAAAGGGCTTATGGGGGATATTACACTGAAACACCAGTTCTAGTATGATCACCAAAGTTGAGCAAAAGCAAGCCTGGTCAGTACCTAAGATGGGTAACTACTTGGAAATACCAGGTGCTGTAATGCAGGTGGTGTAATGGATAATGGTTTGTGAATATAATGAACTTGATTGGAACTGGAACTTGGCTTTCCAATTTCCAATTCTAGTCAGGTACATTATATTCACTTATGTGCAAATACCCTTGGGAATGGTACTACTCCACCTCTTCTGCTTGATATGGGTTAACTAGTAGGACTTGTATTAGTGAAAAAAAAAAAAGTTCTCACAATCTTTTCTGGCTTTAATTAACCTGCAAAAGATTGATAAGCTGTAAAAAGCAAATCAATCCATTTTTGTTAAAGGAAAAATCCAAGGAAAACAAAACCAGAAAACAATTCAAGTGTCAGTGAATCTACGTCTATAATTCTCAAAACGTGTGTGTGCGCGTGCGATCAGATGTTGTTTCTGCATTTCCACCGTTTTCATCCGATTTTGATGAAATTTATTTTGTTTGATAGATAATTCTTCAGTGCCAGTTTTGAGTCCAAATTGTTGATGACAATGGCTCTCCATTACTTCCTCTCCATTATAACTCTCAGAAATGTTTTACTATTTACTATCAGTTCTTGGATATATGTCTTTTAAAAAAATTTTAATAAAAATAAATAGTTTAAATTATTACAATAATATTATTTATTATTATACCCTTTTCAGCCCCCCCCCCCCCTGCTTTGTTAAATCCCCATTTGGGGATGTGCCTCAGTTGCACCCAAATGGGACACTGAGCTGTCGTCCTGGCACAAAACTGTAATGTTTCTTCCACCGGCATTTTGGACTTGACTCTTAGTCACTGCCACCAGCCTGTGTCCCGGTCAATCAGTGGTCATCGCTACCCGGTGGAATCCCTTGGTCAGTGTACCAATATGTGACACTGGCCTGTCCCGGGTTGAATCCTGGTTGTCGCTGCCTGGCGGAATCCTTTGGTCAGGGTACTGAGTGGGATGGTCGGTCGATGCTAACAGCTTCACACCAGCTGCAACTGGTTCAATACCAGCTCCGTCGTTCCCAGCTCACTTCCAACGTCTGGTTACCAAAGTAACTGCTTTGATCTCAAGTTTACCCTACCCACGTTGTGATTTTGATCTTAGGTAGATGAGATCAATCAGGCGTTGGGCTGTAGTGTAAAATGAGTCTAGACTGGAGGTGAAATCGCATAAGCGTAAAGAAAAAGAAGCAAGTAAAAAAAAAAAAAAAAAAAAAAAACCCAAGAGGTTCAGTGTGTTAAGAAAATAACAAATTAACTTTATCAGTCTATTATATACAGGAGTGTGTTTTTCTCCCCAACCTGTTTTCTATGGAGTGTGACACTTCTACGTTTCTTAAGCAAGTTTTAGTATCTTAAGTCAACTGGTTTAGTTTTTAGATGCTGGCTTGTCTTCGTTCATCAGTATAACTTGCTTTTGGTAGGATAGATGAAGTCGGAGGTTGTAGAATCTCTCGGTCAGCTTCTGCGAGGCAACACTCAAGCTCTGACTGTCACTGACTGACAGACTGTCAAACAGCCTGAGGACATTTGTTTATATGGGTACTGACCAAAAACTGGTGCAGGGTTAGACGCAGTCTGGGGTTTTTGGTAAATCTCAATTTCCAACAAGAATCTCTTTGTTGTCAGGCCAGGAAAATTGATTACTTCCCATTTTTGGAAAATTAATCACTTTCTATTTTGTGGGGATCTCTTTGTCCATGAGGAGAGGTCAGAGGAGAGCTATCCTCCTAGACTCTTCCTCTCTCACATTGATGCCTCGTACAAATCCCTTCAGTGGGCATTAAGAACTTCCCCATCCTTCTCATCAAATTACCTCAGCCTATCACCATTGCTACCACTCGACCAATGGCCTCCCGGCCATGCGGGTGTGGCTAAGCTGGCCTCCTTAAAATTATAACCCAGAATATTTGTTTACAAAATCCTTTTTTTTCCCCCATCAGCCAAAATTTTTATTAATCCCACATTGCCACTTAAATCTCTTAAATCTTTTGGTCACTCAGAGTCTTCTTAACCAACACTCTTTACAAATTCCATTAATCACTTGTCAAAGTCTGCCATCTGGTCCCTTGATGAAGTTAGCTTTTACTGGAACTCTTGGCTTCTTGAGAAATTAAATTCCTTATCTCCCAAATCATGATTCTTCCACGATATCTTTTCTCATGCCCCAAATTTTCTAATCACCATTTTGCTACTCAACGTGTTGGTACCTGAAGACAACAATTTGGGAAAGCAAATAATAACAATTCTCTCCAACTCGTATTGGAATAAAATATTTCTCATGCCAAAATTTTTATAATCACCATATGGTCTGCTTGATATCTCAACGCTTTGCTTTTTCTGAATCTCATGTTTCTCTTCGGCAAGGCATTTCTTTGCAAACAATATAAATCAATTTGTCAAAATCTCACATATGGCTTTTCTACGGGTCTACTGTCTTTTGTGAAAAGTAACTTTTTTGGAAATAAAATAAAATCTTTTTAATATCGAACGGTATATTGTTCGGGATATCTTCTTTCCGTTCTCAGTATTTCTTGTTTTAATTTCTGTGGTTAATCAGTTAGCCAATTACCATAGCTAAATAGTGTCACACAAATGTTGTTATTAATATTGATTTTCGGGTGGGCTGAATTTAAACTTAAACTGCTCCAATTGAACGGCAAAAATTCCTAGTACTGAAACACCCGTTCGAAGACAGGTTATGCTGCTAATCTACAATATGATTGCAGCAAGGAACCTACAATATGACAGTTATATATATTTGTTGATATGGCAGAAGAATTTTTATTGTTTGTAGAATAGGTAAGGGTTGTGTTTTATTATTATCTCTATTTTCTTTCATGTGTCTCATGCCAACTGTACTCCTTATTTTTGAATGGTGGATTTGAAATTGCTTAAATTACATACTTAAAAATAGTAGTTGTCAGGTAGATTTATTGTTAACTGCTATAGTGATTCCTAAAGTAAAGTCAGTCTGGTTTTAGTCAGGCCAAAGTAAACTTTCTTCCTTTTATTTTCAGAGGAATTGCAACATCTTTTGAAGGCAAACATGGCAGTATACGGTATTGGCTGAAAGCAGAAATGGATAAACCCTGGGCATTTAATCATAAAACCAAAAAAGCTTTCACTGTTATTTCTCCTATTGACATCAACAAGCCAGAGTACCAAGTAAGTTATCTTTATCTCTCTTTGTAATGTAGAAGAACACTAAAGAATAAAAGAATTGAAGGAATCTGTATATATGCTATGCTTAGATAGCTGTTGAAGCTTAGATAGAAAAAGAAATATATTAAGAGAAAGCTTTTATAAATTTCAACTGACAGTAGCACTAGTTACACAGTGAATGAATGCTGCATGTTTCCTTATAAGGAAACTGCTGATATTATCATTAGCATATAGTAATATTTAACTGTTTAGCATTCAACCCACTTCACAAATATCGGATCTCTTTGTTCAACCTGCTGTAGCCTGCCCCATGTATACTCTACCATAATATATGACATCATTGCAAATAATGCAGTAAGTAATGCAGATAGTTATTCTTTGAGAACTGATATTTATGGGGCAGGTATGAGCATGTTGAATGCTAAAGGGTTCAGGCTTGAAAAACGACTACCTGAGTGACATGGCTTTGTGATAAAATGGCTGATAAACCTTATTCCCTGGAAGTCACATGTTCGAACCCAGAATATGATTAGGTTGTTTAGAAATTCAGAACAAATTAACATCAAATGATGATCACAAGTTGGAAATGTGGTATAGGATTGTGAACTTTCTGATCCCAACTGAGGTCAGGGAGAGAGACACGTAGGTAGATACTGTTCAGTAACACCAAAAGCAACACTAGTATCCGTTCAGATGATATAGTTGCACAACATTGGATTTGTTAACCGAAACTAAAATACAATCAACTAATAAATTAAAGAAATACAGCCTAAATGAAAAATAACATTAAATTCTGCATCGATTGGTAAATTAGACCAATCACTTCCACAGCAATTATTCTTGTTAGTGATATCTTAAAGTTAACCTCTTTATTACCGTCAATTAAGACATTTCATTAGTCAACAGCTATTTGTTACTTGTTACCATAGATAAATAAAAATAATGTTTACTATTTTTACCAGTGTCTATTGGTTCTCAGCAAAAAAGTCCAAATGCACTCTTTTTAACATATGTCAAAATGTCATTCTCCCACTTTCCAAGATTGTTCGACTCAAAAGGTGCATTCCAAATAATGTTTTATTGAAAATCTTCATTCTTTTCCATATTATTACAAATTTACATAGATTATTTTTACAGAGTAGTTTTACAAATGTAATGGCATTAGAAAATGTTGATTGATCTTAAACTTGAATACATGTACAGTAATTTGTTTTAATTCATAATGAATTATTAAATAAATAAACTTAAGCATATTTCAAATGAAAAATGTTCAGTAGAATACCAGGTTCTTGTAATTCAATAAACAAAATTCTGTAAATAAAAAAAAAAGAAAAAAAAAGTGAAATATTTCCTCCCTTCCTGAAATGCTTAAATTCCATCTCTGGTTGTGGACACTTAGTATAGTTTTTTTTATATTTCTTATTTATTCTTTAATGTAGCAGTCTCTGAAATTTTCAGGATGAGGGTTAAATTTATGTTGTGTATCTTGACTGGCCAAAGAGAGAAAAAATGGTTTTCTAAATGAATTAATAAAATTTAGATAATTTTTATTTTTGTCTTTATTTTTTTTTCCAATCAGCTTCAGAAGAAAAATGTGATAATTGTAAGCAAATAAAATCTTGTGGCAAGTCCTCTCCACTTTAGACATTAATGTAATGCATTTAATGGGCATACAGGTAGTGTAATGGTTAGCGACTTGGAATTAAAAAAAATAGGTAAGCAGAGTTCAAATCCTGGCCAAGTTTGCTTTTGCACAAATATCCTTAGGAAAATCTACAAATTGATTCCTTCTCCTAGCAGAGCAAACAGGAACTCTCTAACCTTGGCAATCAGTCTAGGAGATTGGTTGGTTGATTGTTTTTGTTTATCAGCATATTAACCTCCATGGGTTAAGCTGGAGGGAAAAGGGGTGGATTCATATTTACTCAAAATTTGATAAACAAAGGTTATAATATGGATATAAAGTGGGGGCATCAATTCTATATTACAATCATTATATAAACCGATCCCTCACTTTTTGGCCACAAATAATTTCTTTACATTTATATTCCAGAGAATGTAATTAAATTCAAAAGACATGCCGTGTAGCTAATCAGTGTTTCATTGATTGTTCCATTCATTTTCTACAGTTATTCTTATATTGTAAAAATTTTTATTTATTTTTTTTTTTAAGATAATAACGATTTAGTGATACAAGTCTTACTAGTTAACTCATAGCTGGGGGGAGAAGAGGTGGATTTATACCCTTTCCCAAGGGTATTTGCACATTATATTAGCAGATCCTTAACTTTTTGGCCATGGTAGTGTCTATAGATTTATATTCCAGAGAATGTAAATAAATTTAAAAAACATGCCTGTGTAGCTAATCAGTATTTTATTGAGTGATCCATTCATTTTCTACAGCTTAAACTTTTGCAGAAAATATTCTCATTGGAACTCAGCTATCCAATTAACAGTTTTGATCCATTATCCATTACATCACCTGCACATACAATCTTACAGCACCTAGTACTACCAAGTGATCACCCATTTAGATGCAGACCAGGCTTGATGTTGCTTAACTTTGGTGATTGTATGGGAACCAGTGTTTCAATGTGATATGGCTATAAGCCCTTTAACAAAAATGAAAGAAGAAAATATGCAGATTAGACCAACCCATTCATAGTAACTTATATAAAAAAGATGATTCCATACTTGATACAGAGGAAATTTTTGAATTCAAAATTGTATTCAAAACCATAAAACCATGGAAAGGATTATGGAGTTTTAAATTAACAGCCATGCACGGTTGTGGACTCTGATCTTGGCTGAGGTCAATGAAGTTGTAGGTAGGGCATTTGATTCTCATATCCTGATAAAATATTTGTTATAATGTCATTTTGAATTCATTTTTAAAATTGCAGATTCAAGTTGAGAACAACATAGAAAAAACTTTGTGTTGCTGGTTGTGTACATCTGGACCTATCTCCATAACGGCACGCACGGACAGAAGAGGCTATTGTCCTGGTAGGTCTTTCTTGCCATAATTCTTTCTCAATCTTCTGTCATCTGTTAAATTTTAAAACAGAAAAAAAACATAGACTTTAAAATAGAAAGCATAGAATTTATTGTTGCATCTATCCAGCTCAATTGTAAATTGATGAAATCTTGATGCCTGTCTAGTACTGTACTTAAATTCATGAGTTTAATAATAGAAAAAGTGAAACAGAAGCCAGGTAATGAACAACTGAAACTGCAGCAAGTGCAAGGCAATTTTGAAGGGAATTTTATGACTATAACAACCAAGATGATGATACTAGTGTGAATAGATCAATGTATAATAATAATTTCTCATTTAAGAAACAGCTATAACAACCAAGATGAGGATGCTAGTCTGAATAGATCAATGTATAATAATGATAATTCCTTGTGAATTTGTCAAACATTTAGATTTGAATCACTAAGCTCATTTAAAGTTGAAAGAGAAAAGCTCTTATTCAAAGAGAGGAATCTGACAATCAATTTTCTTATGTAGAATTATTACTTAAGCAATTAATGCATTCTTTAATCCAATGGGGAGCAAATTTTATTTATTAAGACTTTTGATCTCTAGACCAGTAAACATTAATTTCATTGGGTAAAAAAACCCCCAAAAAACAGGGAGTCTACTCAAATATGTGTACCCATTAAATACAATATTTATAGTAATAAGAAATAATATCAGATTAAAAATATCCATTAATTGCCTAAATAATTACATTTTCGGTGTCAGATGAAGACTTCAAAAGGTCCCATCCAGAGATGTGCATTTCCAGGGTAGGGTAAATGAGCTTTGCAATGGTTTCTACTGACTTCAGAAAACTTGGCTTGAAAATGATTAAAATGGGATTACAGGTTCAATTCCTGTTGTGAGCCACTTTTTCTTTATTAAGACTTTTAATCTCTAGGCTGATAGGCATTAATTTTAGCTTTTTTAAAAAAGAAACTGTGGGGAAAATTGTGAAAATGGCTTACCTCGGAAACGCGTTCGAATCTGCGCAGTATGCAAACTCTGGTCCTTCCAACAGTAAAAGAAAACCAAAATGGCGGCGCCCACATTTTATGCCGGGCGGTCTCGGTTAGTTAACGCGAAATCTCGTTGTCTCGTCATTCGCATGCAAATCATGGTCGGTCCGCGGCTGTATAAAGCAGGCTCGTTTTGCTGTTTCAGATCAGAGAGCTTTCGGCTCATTAGAAGGTTGGACGTGCGACACTGGTTTTCTTTGTGCCTACCTGCTATCATCAGTTGAATTGTTGCGTTACACACCACAAGCTATTTCGGCAATGGACAAGTTCGATCTAAAATTGATCCCAGAATTCGACGGCTCCCCCACGGGCCCGACTATCGTCGAATGGTTAGAAAAAGGCGAACGTGTTTGCAGGGTGTCCAAAATAAAGAAACCTGCACTAGTCATCCCACTGAGACTCACGGAGGAGCCTACGCAGTATATCAACAACTCGGGGGGCGATGCTGACCTAGAAGAGATCAAGGACGCCCTGTATACGGCCTTTGGAATAGACCCATTCATCGCTTGGAAACAGTTCGGTCGGATGACGGCTCGAGCGGGTGAGACCGTGGATGTTTACCTGGCTGATTTGCGAAAGCTGGCAGTACCACATGCGGAACAACGGCCGATACTGGGGTGCGCCTTCCGGCAGGGGCTTCCGACAACACCAGTCGGCTCCCTGCGGCGTCTTCAAGATTGGACACACTGGGAATTGACGAATTACTAGCCAGGGCCGAAACATCTTGAAGGACACGGAACAGGTCGCGGCAGCCGTGAGAACGCCTGAGACACCGAGGGAGGGCCCAAAGTGCTACAAGTGTGGTGGACCCAACCATTTCTCTAGGGACTGCTGTAGCCAAGTGGACGTGGGAGGAGGGAGCAGCAGACGGAACCGAGCACACTCACGCTGCTATCGCTGCAAAGAGTTAGGCCACGTGAGCACAGGATTGCTCGAATGAAGTCCGGGGACAAGGTGCTGTCGCAACCCTTGCCCCCTCTCGGTCAGTAAATGCAGCATTGCCTGTTGTCAACGTGTACATTGAGGATAAACGATGTTCGGCGCTTGTTGACACTGGATGTTCCCGATCGATCGTTAGTGCGGATCGATGCGTGACATGGAACAGTCAACAAATCGAGATTCGGACGATTGACGGGGTGTCCCGGGCCTGTTGTGGTGTCGGGACTGTGTCAGTCCTAACAGACGGAGGGAGTCATGCCAAAGTCGACGTCTTGGTGGCACGTCAAAGGCCCCTTGGGTGCGACCTGCTACTTGGGATTGATGCGATCCGAGCGTTAGGAGGCATGATGATCACCAGCCGGAAATGTGGAACTGGGTGAAAGAAGAAAGCTGTGTGCAGCCCTTTGCATTAGTGAGCGGTTTCACGTCTCCTTCAATTCCGACGAGAGGTGTGGACAGCCAGGTGGAAATGGGCCCAAAAAGACCCGCCAGTTCAGCTTTGCAACAAGGTCGCAGAGTACAAAGTTCCGACAACATCAGAGGAAAATACGAGAAAGAGCTTCAGCAGTGGATTGTGAACGGCTGGCTGATTCCGTACCCCCAGGAAAGACTGGGACCCCCAAAGGGTCTGATTCCCTTGATGGCAGTCATGCAGGAGCAGAAACAGATTAAATTTTTGAAGATCAAAATTGACTGAAAAGCAAGAAGCTGGAATAGCTCCACAAGTGATAAGTGTGATAGAAGAAACTGTTAGCATAGAACTTAGTTACATCTCGCCAACTCAACTGTAAAATGATGAGACCTAGCTGCCAACCTAGTACTGTGCTTAAATTCATAAGGTCTAGGTACCATAAATGAATGTTTTTTAGAACTTTTACCATGAACATATTGACAGAAAACACAAGTAAGCTACGTTGTAACAGTGGAAAAGTGACTGATGCCAGGTCAGGACCAATAACATTGCAGATTCTTCTTTGGATTTTATCAAGAATCTCTAAATATATAGCAGGAGCACCAGATCAGATGTGGCAGCAATATTCAAAGCACGGATGAATAGTAGACTTATAAATATATAAGATAAATTCTGGTGAGAAAGATTGTCTAGCACTATACAATGAACCAACTTTCCTAGCTGCAGATCTACCAACTGATTAATCATAATATAATCTTTCCAATTCATGTCAGCAGAAAACATTTGTCTGAGAAGGTGCAATGACTCACTCTCCTGGAGATTAGCATCAGCCATATGCTGATGGGAGGAATAGATCAATGTATAATAATGATAATTTTTCAGCTAAAAATACTTGCTCAAGTTTTGAATGTTGTATATTTAAGGATGGAAACATGTCTGGATTGCTTAAATTTTTAAAAAAGTATTTTTTAAAGTTTAATTTTGTTTTTTGTTTTTTTAGGTGAATCCATTGCTATCTCAGCTGAGTTTGACAATCAGTCTTCACGAACAGTTACTCCATATGCATCCTTACATCAAACTCAAGCATTCTTTGCCAATGGGAAATCCAGAGTTCGTCGTACAAAGTTCACAGTACTTACTGGTAAGTTTGTAATGTTTTTATTATTGTTGACCTCCAAAAATGCCCATATCTGTTTAACATAAAAATAGTTTTACCTTAGATTGAAATTAACTTTTTGATATGAAATTGAAATAGCCAAAAGAAAAAAAAAACAATAGTATATGAAATATATTAGTATACCTTTTTTGGTTGGGTGACATATTCAAAGACCTCAAATGGAGGCCTGATACCATGGATAGAACAAAATTCTCTATATAATATGAGTATTACTTATGCATACATACCTATTTATTTATTTTTATTTATATATATATATATATATGAGAGAGAGAGAGAGAGACAGACACTGCTTTGAAAAGATCAATGTATAATTATCATCTAAGAAACAATGAAAATGTTAGGACTATAACAACCAAGATGAGGATACTAGATCAATATATAATAATAATTCCTCATTTAAGACACAGCTTAAAGGTTGGGACTATAACAACCAAGATGAGGATACAAGTCTGAATAGATCAATGTATAATAATGATAATTCCTCATCAAAGAAACAGCTGAAAGGTTGGGACTATAACAACCAAGATGAAGATACTAGTCTGAATAGATCAATGTATAATAATGATAATTGCTCATCTAAGAAACAGCTGAAAGGTTGGGACTATAACAACCAAGATGAGGATACTAGTCTGAATAGATCAATGTATAATAATGATAATTGCTCATCTAAGAAACAGCTGAAAGGTTGGGACTATAACAACCAAGATGAGGATACTAGTCTGAATAGATCAATGTATAATAATGATAATTGCTCATCTAAGAAACAGCTGAAAGGTTGGGACTATAACAACCAAGATGAGGATACTAGTCTGAATAGATCAATGTATAATAATGATAATTCCTCATCAAAGAAACAGCTGAAAGGTTGGGACTATAACAACCAAGAAGAGGATACTAGTCTGAATAGATCAATGTATAATAATGATAATTCCTCATCTAAGAAACAGCTGAAATGTTGGGACTATAACAACCAAGATGAGGATACTAGTCTGAATAGATCAATGTATAATAATGATAATTCCTCATCTAAGAAACAGCGGAAAGGTTGGGACTATAACAATCAAGATGAGGATACTAGTCTGAATAGATCAATGTATAATAATGATAATTCCTCATCTAAGAAACAGCTGAAAGGTTGGGACTATAACAACCAAGAAGAGGATACTAGTCTGAATAGATCAATGTATAATAATGATAATTCCTCATCTAAGAAACAGCTGAAATGTTGGGACTATAACAACCAAGATGAGGATACTAGTCTGAATAGATCAATGTATAATAATGATAATTCCTCATCTAAGAAACAGCGGAAAGGTTGGGACTATAACAATCAAGATGAGGATACTAGTCTGAATAGATCAATGTATAATAATGATAATTCCTCATCTAAGAAACAGCTGAAAGGTTGGGACTATAACAACCAAGATGAGGATACTAGTCTGAATAGATCAATGTATAATAATGATAATTGCTCATCTAAGAAACAGCTGAAAGGTTGGGACTATAACAACCAAGATGAGGATACTAGTCTGAATAGATCAATGTATAATAATGATAATTGCTCATCTAAGAAACAGCTGAAAGGTTGGGACTATAACAACCAAGATGAGGATACTAGTCTGAATAGATCAATGTATAATAATGATAATTCCTCATCAAAGAAACAGCTGAAAGGTTGGGACTATAACAACCAAGATGAGGATACTAGTCTGAATAGATCAATGTATAAGCTCATCTCTGAAAGGTTGGGACTATAACAACCAAGATGAGGATATAAGTCTGAATAGATCAATGTATAATAATGATAATTGCTCATCTAAGAAACAGCTGAAAGGTTGGGACTATAACAACCAAGATGAGGATACTAGTCTGAATAGATCAATGTATAATAATGATAATTGCTCATCTAAGAAACAGCTGAAAGGTTGGGACTATAACAACCAAGATGAGGATACTAGTCTGAATAGATCAATGTATAATAATGATAATTCCTCATCAAAGAAAAACAGCTGAAAGGTTGGGACTATAACAACCAAGATGAGGATACTAGTCTGAATAGATCAATGTATAATAATGATAATTCCTCATCTAAGAAACAGCTGAAAGGTTGGGACTATAACAACCAAGATGAGGATACTAGTCTGAATAGTTCAATGTATAATAATGATAATTGCTCATCTAAGAAACAGCTGAAAGGTTGGGACTATAACAACCAAGATGAGGATACTAGTCTGAATAGATCAATGTATAATAATGATAATTCCTCATCTAAGAAACAGCTGAAAGGTTGGGACTATAACAACCAAGATGAGGATACTAGTCTGAATAGATCAATGTATAATAATGATAATTGCTCATCTAAGAAAGAGCTGAAAGGTTGGGACTATAACAATCAAGATGAGGATACTAGTCTGAATAGATCAATGTATAATAATGATAATTGCTCATCTAAGAAAGAGCTGAAAGGTTGGGACTATAACAATCAAGATGAGGATACTAGTCTGAATAGATCAATGTATAATAATGATAATTGCTCATCTAAGAAACAGCTGAAAGGTTGGGACTATAACAAGCAAGATGAGGATACTAGTCTGAATAGATCAATGTATAATAATGATAATTGCTCATCTAAGAAACAGCTGAAAGGTTGGGACTATAACAATCAAGATGAGGATACTAGTCTGATTATATCAATGTATAATAATGATAATTCCTCATCTAAGAAACAGCTGAAAGGTTGGGACTATAACAATCAAGATGAGGATACTAGTCTGAATAGATCAATGTATAATAATGATAATTGCTCATCTAAGAAACAGCTGAAAGGTTGGGACTATAACAAGCAAGATGAGGATACTAGTCTGAATAGATCAATGTATAATAATGATAATTGCTCATCTAAGAAACAGCTGAAAGGTTGGGACTATAACAATCAAGATGAGGATACTAGTCTGAATAGATCAATGTATAATAATGATAATTCCTCATCTAAGAAACAGCTGAAAGGTTGGGACTATAACAATCAAGATGAGGATACTAGTCTGAATAGATCAATGTATAATAATGATAATTCCTCATCTAAGAAACAGCTGAAAGGTTGGGACTATAACAACCAAGATGAGGATACTAGTCTGAATAGATCAATGTATAATAATGATAATTCCTCATCTAAGAAAAGCTGAAAGGTTGGGCTGAAAGATGAGGACTGAATAACAATGCAAGATAATTCCTCATCTAGGAAACTGAAAGGTTCTGAATGAAGATGATCAATGTATAATAATGATAATTGCTCATCTAAGAAACAGCTGAAAGGTTGGGACTATAACAATCAAGATGAGGATACTAGTCTGAATAGATCAATGTATAATAATGATAATTCCTCATCTAAGAAACAGCTGAAAGGTTGGGACTATAACAATCAAGATGAGGATACTAGTCTGAATAGATCAATGTATAATAATGATAATTCCTCATCTAAGAAACAGCTGAAAGGTTGGGACTATAACAAGCAAGATGAGGATACTAGTCTGAATAGATCAATGTATAATAATGATAATTCCTCATCTAAGAAACAGCTGAAAGGTTGGGACTATAACAACCAAGATGAGGATACTAGTCTGAATAGATCAATGTATAATAATGATAATTGCTCATCTAAGAAACAGCTGAAAGGTTGGGACTATAACAAGCAAGATGAGGATACTAGTCTGAATAGATCAATGTATAATAATGATAATTGCTCATCTAAGAAACAGCTGAAAGGTTGGGACTATAACAAGATGAGGATACTAGTCTGAATAGATCAATGTATAATAATGATAATTCCTCAAGATGAAAGGTTGGGACTACAACCAAGATACTAGTCTGAATAGATCAATGTATAATAATGATAATTCCTCATCTAAGAAACAGCTGAAAGGTTGGGACTATAACAAGCAAGATGAGGATACTAGTCTGAATAGATCAATGTATAATAATGATAATTCCTCATCTAAGAAAGAGCTGAAAGGTTGGGACTATAACAACCAAGATGAGGATACTAGTCTGAATAGATCAATGTATAATAATGATAATTGCTCATCTAAGAAACAGCTGAAAGGTTGGGACTATAACAATCAAGATGAGGATACTAGTCTGAATAGATCAATGTATAATAATGATAATTGCTCATCTAAGAAACAGCTGAAAGGTTGGGACTATAACAACCAAGATGAGGATACTAGTCTGAATAGATCAATGTATAATAATGATAATTGCTCATCTAAGAAACAGCTGAAAGGTTGGGACTATAACAATCAAGATGAGGATACTAGTCTGAATAGATCAATGTATAATAATGATAATTCCTCATCTAAGAAAGAGCTGAAAGGTTGGGACTATAACAACCAAGATGAGGATACTAGTCTGAATAGATCAATGTATAATAATGATAATTCCTCATCTAAGAAACAGCTGAAAGGTTGGGACTATAACAACCAAGATGAGGATACTAGTCTGAATAGATCAATGTATAATAATGATAATTGCTCATCTAAGAAACAGCTGAAAGGTTGGAACTATAACAATCAAGATGAGGATACTAGTCTGAATAGATCAATGTATAATAATGATAATTCCTCATCAAAGAAACAGCTGAAAGGTTGGGACTATAACAAGCAAGATGAGGATACTAGTCTGAATAGATCAATGTATAATAATGATAATTCCTCATCTAAGAAACAGCTGAAAGGTTGGGGCTATAACAACCAAGATGAGGATACTAGTCTGAATAGATTAATGTATAATAATGATAATTCCTCATTTAATAAACAGCTGAAAGGTTGGGACTATAACAACCAAGATGAGGATACTAGTCTGAATAGATCAATGTATAATAATGATAATTGCTCATCTAAGAAACAGCTGAAAGGTTGGAACTATAACAACCAAGATGAGGATACTAGTCTGAATAGATTAATGTATAATAATGATAATTCCTCATCAAAGAAACAGCTGAAAGGTTGGGACTATAACAACCAAGATGAGGATACTAGTCTGAATAGATCAATGTATAATAATGATAATTCCTCATCTAAGAAACAGCTGAAAGGTTGGGGCTATAACAACCAAGATGAGGATACTAGTCTGAATAGATTAATGTATAATAATGATAATTCCTCATTTAATAAACAGCTGAAATGTTGAGACTATAACAACCAAGATAAGGATACTAGTCTGAATAAATCAATTTATAATGATTTAAATTTTTTTATTTAGAATTAGATGATTCCAAAATACTTGAAGTCTTGAATCAACTTATTGTGATTTTACTTGTTTTTTTTTTTATTCTTGTTTTTTTTTGTCTTAATTTAACTCTGGTGTTTGTTTATTTTAGGTTTACCTGTTGCCCCTGGCAATGGGGGTATGTGGGAATCTCAACTCTTGAAAATTCCAGCTGTCTCACCTTCAATAATGAATTGCTGTGTTATGAAAGTAGACTATTTTGTAAAGGTAACACATTTTCCAGAATACGTTTTTTATTGCTATAATAAAGAATTGAGTTCTTGAACAATTGTCACCAGTTGTTTATCAAAACACACTGTTGCTCTGAGAAGTCTTTTGGGAATGCTCTCTGTGGTGTGGAGAAAATAGACATATGTTCCTGGAAGTAAAATATATCCTTGTATAACCTGCCCATGTGACACATTTTTCCAAAGCTTTAATAAATTATGAAAAAGGTTAGAAAAATTACTACATTTTATATCTATTGATTGTTTTTTTAGGCAAACAGGGACGATGGGTCTGCAAATGTCAAAAAGACAGTTTTCTCATGACACAACGTTTTTTTTTTTTTTTAACTATCTTCACTCTTTGTCAATATTTACAGTTTTTAAATGTGATGATTAGATTTGAAAAAAACCTAAACATATGAAAGTGAATTTATACATTTTTTATTTTTTTCTTCAGAATTGACAACAAAAATAATAAACACTATTTATTAAGCTTGAGACTCTATAATCACAAGCATATTTATCTATGGGAATATATTTTTATTTATATTTGTGTGTGTATATATATATATATATATATATGTATATATATTTTTTTTTTTTTTTTTTTTTTCACATGAATATTGTTATGAGCATTGTGATATGGAGATAAATACAAATATACTTGTGGCAAAATATATATATATATATGTATGTGTGTGTCTGTGTGCGCAAATATATAGAAAAATAGGAAAGAACTGTTAAGTGAATTTGGGAATAACTAATCTTGAAATTTACAGAGCTCCGTAAATTTCAAGATTAGTTATTCCAAAATTTGCTTGAAGGATGAAACAGAGCTGGTTTTTTAGCTTCTATTTTTGAAACATGAGAACTCTTATGTAGTGATGGAATCATATTTTAAAAAATAATATATATATATAAATTGCATATGTAGATATGTCATGATATTTCTGTTTACATTTGTAGCATTTTTATAATTACCTTTTACATGTGCATATTTGTGTTTGAATTAAAATTCAATTTTTCTACTTGGAGGTATATAAGTTGTGTGGATGTGTCTTTTTGTACATTTTTTCCATCTATCTATGTTTATATTTTTCATTTTATTTGTATCTTTTTTCCTTGTCCATTTTATCCTCTTTTTAATTTCAAATTGTCATCCATGGCAATTGTATCTTTTCTCCTTGTCCTTTTTCTTCTCATTTTAATAAATATGTTTGTTTTGATAGCATTAATTAAATTCTGTATTTTGTAGAATTTTTTAAAATTTTCTATTTTGATTGAATTGTTTTTCATTAGGTTTATCATTTTTAATCCATTAAAAATGAAACTTTAATTTCATTTTATTTTGTAAAATTTCATTATCAATCATCTGATTACTCTTTTAGGTTGCTTTGCACATCCCTGGGTCATATAACTTGACCCTGCAGCTTCCTGTGGTGATAGGAACTGTTCCCTATCGCCGAGCACGCCCATACCACTATACATCAGAACCACGTTATTGTCGTCCAGCCCAAACCCAAACTTGTGGCTTCGATCTGTTACCTCTACCCCCACCTTATCGAGAGACAGTCACTCCTCCACCTCCTTTTGAAGGTAAATTATTAGTTATTATTTAAAAACTGTTAACATTTGTTTACTGGTGTATACTTGGTGTATACTTGCAAATATAACACGTCTCATTTTTAGAATTTACTTTTACCTTTATTTTGGTTTGGTTTGATTTTTGTTTTACAGTATATCAACCTCAATGGGTTATTTAATGCTGATGAGATTTTTATTGCTGGTAATATTTTTTCCAAAAATGTGTTGCTGGTAATATTTTTGTTTCTTTAGAAATATATTGCTGTTAATAATTTTTCCCTCAAAAAATTTATTACTGGTATTAAGACCTATTTTTGCACTTTCATAGTATTTTAACCCCAGTTTGGGGGTTAACTATTGGCCCATAGTCGGGAACCTAACAGGTGCTACCACCCTGGGTCAGGGTAGATCTGGGAACACCAGCAATTAAGAGGTGGTTCCACGCTCCTTAAAACCTCCTGATCAGAGGCCTTGCTGTTGGATGTAGTTTATCGTCTTATCCAGGACGCAGATGTAGTTTATTATCTTGTCCAGGACGCACTTTATTTTGGGAATGATTGACTTGCATCACATAATTTTAGCTAATCCTGCACCTGCTTAACAAATTCCTAAGTTTTATTTTATGATTATTTCATAGACTGTTGCTACAGAATCCCAAAGATGGTATTTATCAATCCACCCACGGGGATCGAATGTGGCACAAGGCCTTTTTAATGTGGGTATCTCTGAGCCCGTAGGCCCAACCAAAAATAAATAACCATCCAAACCCACCGAGGCGGGCCAGTTCCGTCAACCTCCCCCAACGAAACCCTACCCTTCAGCAGAGCTTCGTCCGGGTTCCTCTCTGCAAGCAGAGAGTTCAACAGACACCCGACCCGGCAGCTCACAAAGCGCAGATACTACACTTTGATCCTGGCCACCGGGCTGAGCGGGTATTCTTTTTATCGATACCCATTATCCCAAAGATTTTATCCCAAAGATCTTTACCAAATAACAAAAACCACATCACTTGAAGACTTCCAACAGCAGCAACAAGTAAAATGGATAACACATTAACTAGAAATAGATGTTGACATTTCACTCTACCTTAAACAAAAGGTTAGGAGGGGAAACTCCTATCAATACATGAAAGAGCAATAGCAGTAGACTTAAGAAGCCTTTTTCCTGAAAAACTGTTGTAGAAGAATTTTAGAAATTTCAACCAATGTTATTTTTGATCAGTTAATTACTGCCAAATATTTATTGTATGGAAACAGCTATTCTCAATAATACTGTTCATGCTAAAAATATAAACTTAATGAAAGAAATTTCAGTTATTTTCTGCAAGTTGCAGAGTGGAGAGGTAACATTAAGTTGGTGGGGTGATCACAACTGTAAAGTCTTTTTTCAGAGGGTTTAAGGTCATGTTACATGCATAATTTGATTATTTTGGGTTTGAATACTATAGTAACAATATATACAATGTAAACATACACATATATACAGTAGATTGTATCATATGGCTATCTTTATTTAAAGATCTTTGAACATGAACACCTTAGATGAACATTTGACTTAGGTTCATTCAAAAAAATTCTGTGTCCTGAGTATGACGATAAATTACATCTGGCAGCATAGCCTCTGATAGTGAGGTTTTGAGAAGTGTGGAACCACCTTTTAATTGCTGTTGTTCCCAGGGGTGGTAACACTTTTTAGGGTCCCAGCTATGGGCAAATAGTTAACTGGGGTCAAAACACTATGAAACAATAGAAATAGATTTTTATATTAAAAATACCAGGAATACATGTTTAGAAAAAAAAATATTACCAGCAATACATTTGACTCTTTACAGAAACTCTTTACAAAAATATGTCAATGAAACCTGATCTACAAATTGATTTCTTACAAAGAATACATATTCTTTTATGTTGTGGCCTTGTTAGGGCCAGAAATAAAGACACAAGAGAGGAATTGAGTTAAACAAATATATTAACAGAAACAGTAATACAAAAATATACAAACGAGAGTGTTACAGCAAGAATGTTCGGTCTGACTGTCAGAGCTGACTGCTGAAAACTTCCCTCTCCAAAAGGCTGTATCGGCTCCTATTTATAGCTGGAGGAGTCCATGTGTGCATGGGTAAATTACCATAACATAATCATAACCTATCCTAAAAATCTTGTCAGTATTAAAATAGGCTTAATTTTTAGACTAATCTGAGCTTTGTCTTACTTATAAGCCTTATGCTAATAAAAATATCCAAGCCTTGTTTCATGCTTAAAACATGTTTAATTTTTAGACTAATCTGAGCCAAGTCATGTTTTTAAGCTTCATGCTTATAAAAAGAAAAAAAACATGAAACCCCAAAAATGTGTAATTTGTTCTAAATGGCTTGACTAACTCGATTTTACCAGCCAAACAATATTAATGTGGATATTTTGTTGCATTTATTTTCCATGGAAATAACCAGAACAAGATATCCATGAGTAAAAATATCTCTACCAATAGCTTGAATATAAATATATATGTTAAAATGTGGAGATAGTGTACAAATCAAAATTAAATTTGAATTAGTTTAAAACTGGTAAATAAATAAATTCAATTTGGAAAGGGTTAAAGTTCATGATGGAAGCAACAGCTTTCAGTTGTAACAGTCTGAGAAATTAAGGTAGTCATAGGTGAGTGATTTCTCTCATGTACATACTAACCCATTTTCTTAATCGGACCATGTCAAGACTAATTATAAGAGTAACAACTTCCCTGCTGTTACTGTCTGGACAGTTACAGAGTCATAGTTTGGCTACATGTCCACTTTGCCCATTCTCTTGTGTAAACCTTTGTCAAAGTTGAGTATTAAAGTCACTGCTTTTTGCTATCACACCTACCCAATCACATAAGCTATATAAAAATGCCAAAAAGTTAGACAGCAACCTAATAATGTGTAATTTCTTACTCCCCCCCCCCACTGAATAATGGTAACTAAGTTACCTGACATATTGATGCTGGAATTTTTATTCAATAAATAGGAGCAGGTACTGTTAGGGTCCCAGCTATGGGAAAATAGTGAATCCCTAAAATGGGTTCAAAATACTATGAAAGTATAAAAATACATTTTTATAGTAAAAATTACCAGCAATGCATTTTGTATAATAATTTTCTAAAAAATTACTAGTCAGATATTTTTGAAGAAAGATACATTTTTGTAAAAAGAAAAAAAAAACAAATTACCAGCCATACATTTTTGTAAATGAAATTACTAATACTCCCAAGAAAATTAAATTTCAGCATTAAATGACCCATAGAGGTGTTGATATGTCATAAAACAAGCCAAACCAAGCCTACCCAAATGTGTGCGAAAATGAGTGAAATGTAATATCATACAATTTTGTGCATGTAAATCCTGAAAACTTTTGAGTTAAAGGTTAGTTTTTATTTTCATTTCATCTTTTCATACTGTCTTATTTGATATATTTCAAACACACTTGTGTTGTGCCAGGAAGTTTAATCACTGATGTTTATTTGAGCAATCACCTCCTGGTCAGCTTCCTTGCCTCTTTTGGTTGAATCTCCAAATTTTAAAAAAATCTGGCCTGAGCCAGATTTTTGGTTTGATTATTTTAGAATTCAACCAATGAGAATTGGTTTTACAGTTTATACGATCTGTCTGTTGAAAAATAATAGTTAATTATCATTTTTTTAAATTTGCAGAGCCTCCAACTTATGCTGAAAGTGTTGGTGGTGCAGTGGATATCCGTGATGAAGATGATGACATGATAGGCAACATGGGTGACCTCACCTACACTCCAATGTATACTTATGTCTATGACTATCGACCACCGCCAGCTTATTCGGAGGTAAGTTCATTTTTCATGACTTTTATTTTATTTCTGGTGGCATTCTTTCTGAAAATTTAAGATACCCTGTCATCATATTTAAGATATTCCTTCATTACAATGTTCTACAGAAGGATGCTTAGACTACAATTGAAGGGAATATGTTAACAATGAGGTAGTTTTAATGAGAATAGAAACCAAAAGGACGCGTACTTTAAAACAGATGCTTGAAATTTCTAGTACACATAAGTAAAGGGGGCTTGGAAAATGTGACACTTTTTTGTATGCTGTGTCCCTTTAGGGTGCAGGCAATCATGGCTCTCCACAACCTTCTGTCCTTTGTAGCTCACTAAATTTTGTCTTTTTATTATTTCTCCTAATCCTGTTCCACTATCCATTTATTCAAACTCACTAAGTAAATCATGCATTGTTTTCCTCTGTCCCTCAATCTGTCCTGTGAGTATCAGATTTTCCAAGCCCTCTTTCCTCATTATGTTCCCTAGAGATGTCAACTATCTCTTCCTGATGTTAAGTATAAGTTTCCTTTTTGTTCCCATTTTCTCTAAAACATTTTTGTTGCTCATATGTTCAGTTCATGGTAAACTCAGCATCCTTCTGTAGAACCATATTTCTGTTGCTTCAAGTCTCTTCATCTTTGAGGAGATTATCCAGCACTCACTGCCATCAAAGGTCATATTGAAGGCCAGATGGACTGAGGAAAGCGGCACATGACTTACCTAACGAGTTTGTATAAATGGTTGGCTGAACAGGGATTAGGAGAGATAGGAAAAAGACAACCTTTACTAAGGACTACAAAAGACAGAAAGTTGTGGTGAACCATGGTCACCCATGTCTATTTTTGTTTATTTACAGAACTCATTTTCTATCTGTATACAGGTTGTTTTCTCCCTGCACAACTTCTAGTGTATTCTAATATCCTCCCAAATATATCAATCTTACTTAACATTTTGGGGTTTAGTGTTTAGTTAATTATGTTGCCCTTTTACTGTAAACCTTCTTATTTATCCTACATAATTGTTTATTTAGCAGTCATATCCTTTGGATAAGAGCAGGTTTGTTCACACATTGACATTGAGACTACTTGAAAACAGCAACAGGTATTTGTTGATATTCACTGAACCATTAAGTTTTTCAAGCAATGATCATTGACATTACAGGCATGAAACAGATGATACTATAATTGGACATGAATGTCTACACTGCAGTGACATCATTCTATTATTGCTTGTTGACATTTTGTCGCTGGGACAGCTGGCCTACAAATAACTTACATAGAGAATGAATTCAAGAAATCTGTCTCTTTGTTTTTTTTTGTTTTTTTTTAATCATTCCACCCCTTTTGTAAGACAATAAGACAATTACAGTTGTATTGCCTTATTGCGCAAGGGGTTACTGTGTGTGAGATAATATAAGAAATATGACAATATTTGGTTTCTTTCTTTCATTTTCTCACTGTTGTAAAATAAGGCAAGCTTGTGTTGAGGTGGGTGGGACACTTAAATTAAGTGGGGGGGGGACAGGCAGTGAAGGGGAAAGAGACAGAAGAAAATAAAATAAAACTGAGTAATGACTAGTAAGACCACTGTGTCAAAAACCACAGCATGACAGGTGGCATGCCGCTTCTGGAACAAAATGTACCAAGGGAACGTCTTCATAAGATACTGAATCTCTTACAATAGCAAAGGGAATCTTGCTGACTGTAGGTTTTCTTGGTGTTTTTAGTAACATGAGACAGTTGACAAAGAACTGGATCTGGACAAGTTGCAAAGAGCCCTGAATCTAGAGATACCAAGCTGTTCTGCTGCCAACAAGGAAAACCCGAATGTGACTAGTTTTGACAGAGATGTCCACATGTGACTTGGAGCTTCTTTAGCATCTGTACTGACATGTATTTGCCTCACTCACTGAAAACAAGTAAAGGCACTGATATGTTGTTTTTGTCTTTCCATGTGATCAAAACTGAATAGTCTATTATTTATGAGGTATTGATAGAGCATAACGATCATGCTAACCAAGCAAGGGGTAAGCAGCATTATAAGATAATTTCTCAATTAAAAATTTTAAAAATTATTAAAAATATTTATTTTGTTGTAGAGTTGTTGAAACTGAAAGGCTAAAAGATTATTTTATTGTGTCATAATGTATGGAAAGACTGTCTTCTTGTGGTGCCATTATATCATATTTTATTCCGTTATCTTTCTTTCTATCATTTTCTTACTGAAACCAAGTAGTGTCCTTTCTCCACAATCAAAATGGAATAGTTCATTATTTATTAGGTATTGACAGGGTATAACAGTTGTGCAAAATAATGACTGGTGTGACACACACAATTATAATAGGATAAGCCTTTTTAAAATAAATTGCTTGAAGCATTTCTAGTTTGTGAATCATTTGCAATTTATTATTGTTAAAAATGTAGTCTTTAGTCTACTGTCATAATATGACAGGGTGGCCTCTTTTTCTATGTACCAAATCCCTTCAGAATGTTGGTGATCATGGCTCCCCACAGTTTTCTGTCCTTTGTAGGTCTTAGTAATTTTTTTTTTTTACTATCTCTCCTAATTGACTGTTCTGCCAACCATGTACATGCCATTAAGTTTTACATGACTGGCTAAGCACAGTGCATCTTCTAGTTGCTAGTGTTCCTTCAGTATGTTGGCAATCATCGCTTTCCACATTTTCCTGTTCTTTTTAGCACTTAGTAAATCTTGTCTTTTTGGTATCTTGCTTAATCCCTGTTCTGCAAACCATTTACACGAGTTTGTTGGTAGGTTTTGCACTGTTTTCCTCTGTACTTCTTGCCTTCAATTTTTCCTGTGAGTGTCAAATTTTCTAAGTTCTCTTTCCTCATTATGTGCCCTGGTAATTTCAGTATCCTTTTTTTTGTTTCCATTTTCTAAAAAAATTCATCATTGGTCACATGTTCAGTCCATGATATTCTCAGCATCCTTCAAACTTGCTTAATGTACAAGACACATAGGATATCAATGAGATGTTTGCAAGCCATAGCATATAAACGTTGATGGGAAAATTATATACACACACACATCATAAAAATGTATTATATATATATATATATATATATATATATATATATAAAACAATGGAATATATAGGAGAAACCTCAAGGGAATTAAAGATTATATGAACACAAAAGGGATCTTTTACAGAACAACACACTAACAGCATTAATTGCTCACCATAAGTCTGACCTTAATTTTTATTTTAAAAAATGCTACCTTAATTAAAATTTACAAAGGTGAAGATATATAAAATGTGCTTTAACCATTAGATCATCCGCAGTAAATTTATGTCAAGGTTCTTATAACATTTCACCTTTCTTGGCAGATCTTCTGTCATCACAATGTTGAATATTTAATGAGAAAAGTGGTAAAAAAAACTAAATGAAATCAGATTGTAAAAAAATTTAAGTGTCTCTTCTTCTTTGTGTGCATGTGTAGTTGCATCAATATAAACATTACTTTTTAGTTCAATGAAGTCCTAGAGAATGCAACATGTTATATGGAACCTTTTCCCACTCTATCATAGATTTTTCTAAAATAAACATTGGTGCCATATCTCAGCAGAAAATGCTCAATCCTCACTGTCCGACTTAATAGGATTCAAAATTGTTTACATGAACATGTAAGGGAAAACTTATTCTCCAGCCTGCAGCCACCTTCCCACGGACGCAACGTCACAAGCCTATCACTACTCTATTGCCATTTCCATGGCAAATGTTCAGATAAGCTCCATTCTTTAGTTCCACCAGTTCAGACTTGTACAAGTAGGATATGTTATGTTACTTCCACAGAGTTGAATCAATTCCATTTTCTCTGTATTCCAAATACTAGGAAAAAGTGTCACTCAGTCAGCTTTTCACCAAGAACTGTTGTTTCTTTGGAACAGACTCCCACATGGATGCTTCCTTGAACAATGTAATTTTAACATCTGCAAGTCAAGAGTCAGTTGTTATTTATCCTACCTAGTCTCATAATCTTCTCTTCCTACTAGTTCTTCCTGGTTTGTACCTAGTTGAGTAATCACTTGTGAATACCAGGTGCTGTAACCTTGGATGTGCTGGTGGGGTATAAATAACAACTGAATTGGAAATCACAAAGCTGATATCCTTGAAAATATCCTTAGGAAAGGTATGAATTCACTTCTTCTCATCTCCACAACCAAGGGTTAAATAATAGGGTTTGTATCAGAAAATCATTATTATCTCCTCAAAATTATTACAATCTAAAATATTTTCTGGCTTTAACTCTTTGAACCCTGACTACCACTTTACCAATGGTAGAAAAAAATGATGTAATGTTCAGCCACCAGTTAAACAGTGATAGAGAAAAATGACTTAATTCCCAGCTACTGATTGAACGGTGGGTAAACACTTGTAGCTATATCTATATCTACTGTGAAACATTGCATACCAATTATTTGCGAATTTTGACTCAGGAGCTCAGGCAGAAGAGTTAAAATTGTTCAGGAATGCAAAGGGTTAAATAACCTGAAAAAGGTTGACATAAAAACAAATCAATCAATCCTACTAGCTCTTATTTCATTCATATCACATATTTCATTCAACCATTTTAACAGTTGCTATCTACCTTAAGTGGTTTTCTGAGCCTTGTAATGGTTGAATATCCTTGCTGACCTGAAATTTCTTTAATTCATTCTCTCTTCATTGAAGGACAATATTTCACTGTTTACACACATACTTGATTGTGGCATTAATATAGACCTCCAGTTGCAGTGCCAAATATTACCTCTTATCGTCAGTAGCATTAAATACCAAGTAGGATGCCTGGTGGCTGCAAGTTTTTTTGTCCATTGGATATTATATATTTTCACCTATTGCTGGGATCCAGATAGTCATTTAGTGTCCCATTATGAGAGTATATTCACTTGGATGTGATCTTTGAGACATTCTTCTGAACATTGCAGCAAACCCTGGTTTCATTGACAGGAGTATTTCTCAAAAGGCAAAAAGGATTATAAGTAAGATAAAATAAAACACTGTAGTAAAAGTCACCAGCAATTTAATACTAGAGGCTGTC